TTTGAAGGCTTTTAGAGACACTCTTTTTTCCCTTTTTATCTTACTGTTCATTTTGCTAAAAAATGTGCAGCTTTTACTCATGCTCTCTTAGCTTTCCAAAGAGAGTTGCAAGGGTCAATGAAGTTAAGTCCTTTGATTCTTCTATTGCAGTAACCTTTGCTTGCCAAGATCTATCCAAGCATTGTAGAACTTTCAAATTTTGTTCTTCTTCAAATTTCCTGCCAAGATCAACAAGATGATTTATTAAGTGTGTAAATCTTTTTTGAAAATCAGAATTAATTCACCATTATTCATTTTCAAAAATTCATATTCTCTTATAAGAGTATGCTTTCTAGATCTTTTTACATCACTTGTTCCTTCATGAGTAACTTGTAATGTGTCCCACATTTCTTTAGATGACTTGCATTGAGAAATTCTAAAAAACTCATCAATAGACAATGCAGATGTTATTATGTTCTTTGCTCTATAATCATATTGAGCTCTCTTTTTCTCATCATCACTCCACTCACTCCAATGTTTTTCTCTCTTTCCATCACCACTTTGGTCATAGGGATATAGGGTCCATTTTCAATTGCATCCCACACAACAATGTCAATTGCTTCAATGAAAATTATCATCCTAATTTTCTAGTAGACATAGTTTTCACCATTGAAAACATGAGGATTATGAATAGACACACTCTCACCATAAGGTAGGTTTCTGTTGGCCATTTTTGAAATCTTGATTAACACTCAAGAACCTTGCTCTAGATACCAATTGTTAGAAAAGAATGGCTCAATCCAAGAGGGGGGGTGAATTGGATTTTATGACATTTAAATTTTTTTTAGAGTTCTAAGGATCTTTATTTCAACTTAAACTTTTCTAATATGATTTTTTAAAGAAGTTCCTTGAAAGACTTGCCAATGGGAATAAGTCCTATATGCTTTCTTGATTAATCTTGATTAATATGTGTACTGTCCGTACCGCGAAGCCGAGCTCTGAGCTTGGCATCACTGCACAAAACGAGGTCGGGCGCGCGCTACGCGACGTCAGCTCGACATTTAAGTAGATCGTAACCGATCTTGAGCGATCTCGCTTCAGACGGGATCCATCATTTAATCCTATCACATCTTATCTCAGGCCCAAGGCCCAAAACAACCCTAATTCACACTAAGGTACGTGCATTACATATACGAGATTCATACTCCCACAAACACTAACTTTAGCATCAGAGTCTCTTTTGCAGGTACCACCCCCATCTTGGAACACCAGCGTACCCGTGAAGGAGGCTCATCGATCTTACCTGGCGAATCACCTCTACGGCAGATTTCTGGTAAGAACATTTGGCGCCCACCGTGGGGCCGATCAAGACAGCTCTTATCGGCCACCTGTATGGTTTTCACCAGAAGCCATAGTAGATGCATAACAGACGACCTAGATCACGCAACTACCATGGACAACGAAGCAACATCAAGAAGGCTGATCGAGCAGGTCGAGCAGATGCGGCAGCAATGCACCGCCGATCTGCAAAACATGCGTGCCAAACACGAAACTGACCTAGCCGCGATGTGAACTGCCAATGAAGCAGACCTAGCGGCGCTGCGCGCCGAGAATGAGCGTATTCGCGCTCAACCCCAACGGCGACACTCTGATCATCACTCTGGCTCTCAACCCAACCCCGACGGAGCAATGCGAACCGAGGTAGCCCAGGAAGCAGGATCAACACCCCCACAAGGAGTGATCAGCACAATTGCAGGAGGGGGAGCCAGTAGCTCAGCCTGGAAAAAACACCTGCGCAACGTCAACCGCGTACAATTTACCACCTCTGCTTCGCACCAGAGCTCGCTGACGATCACTTTCACCGACGATGACTATGCCAGGATCAACCCCAACCAGGATGATCCCATGGTTATCGTCGTGGCATTGGCCAATTGGGAGGATCACAAGACCCTGGTCGACCAAGGGAGCTCGGCCGACATCCTATATTGGCCAACGTTCCTTAGGTTAGACATCCCCCACTCTCTCATACAACCTCACACAGAACCCCTAGTCGGTTTTGCAGGAAGAAGCGTTCACACTCGGGGTTACATGGACCTACTGACGACTTTCGGAGCACCTCCGAATTCGAAGCGGGTCATGGTTCGATACCCCCTCGTGGAAGCCGACACCTCCTATAACATCATCATCGGCAAGCCAACCTTGAATCGGCTCAGAGCGGTGGTGTCCACCCCACACCTCACCATGAAATTCCCAGGGCATGATGGGAAGATTATCTCCGTCAAAGCAAATCAGAAGATAACACGACAATGCTACACCGAAAGCCTGAAAATCGCCTCACTTGGCAAACAGTGCAAGAGCAACCTTACCACCGTGGCTTACACCAACCACGAAGAAATCACCGACCTCGATCCAAGATCCGACGCTCGTGACGAGCGGCCTAGCCCCGTTGACGAGCTCGATGACCTCTAGATCGGGAAACTCCCCAAGCAAACCACGAAGATCAGCCGACAGTTGACCCCAGAGTTGCAACAACAACTTCAAGCGGAAATCCTCAAGAATGCCGACCTCTTCGCCTGGTCTAGCGCTGACATGCCGGGCATAGACACCGGTTTCATCTGCCACAGGCTCGCAATACACAAGGAGGTAAAACCAGTCGCCCAGAGGAAGAGAAAGGTCGGCGGTGAAAGACGGGAGGCCATCGTCGCCGAAACATAGAAATTGCTCAACGCTGGCTTCATCTGTGAAGTCAGATACACCACATGGCTGGCGAAAGTGGTCCTGGTAAAGAAGAACTCGGGGAAGTGGCGTATGTGCGTCGACTATACTGACCTAAACAAAGCATGCCCCAAGGACTCATACCCTTTGCCGAGCATCGACAGGTTAGTCGACGGAGCCTTCGGACATGCCCTCCTCAGTTTCCTCGATGCCTACTCAGGGTACAACCAGATAATGATGTACCCACCTGATGAAGTGCATACGTCTTTCATCACCGACCGTGCCAACTACTGCTACCGGGTGATGCCCTTCGGTCTCAAAAATGCAGGGGCAACCTACCAGCGGCTGATGGATAAGGTTTTCCATCAACAGATCGGGAGAAATATGGAAGTTTACGTCGACGACATAGTAGTCAAAGCTACCTCGGCGACAGACCACGTTGCCGACCTCGCCGAAATATTTGCCCAGGTCAGGAAGCATAACATGCGCCTCAACCCGGAGAAATGTGCCTTCGGTGTCCAGGGGGCAAATTCCTCAACTTCATGATTACCAGCAGAGGAATCGAGGCCAACCCCGAGAAGTGCAAAGCCATTATCCAGATGCAAAGCCTGCAAACGGTGAAAGAAGTCCAACGCCTGGCCGGACGATTAGTCTCACTGTCCTGCTTCATTCCCAAACTCGCGGAGAAGGCGGGACCAATCTTCACTCTACTAAGAAATCCGAAGGATTTCCTGTGGACAGACCAGTGCGAGGAAGCTTTCCAAAGCTTCAAAACCTTCCTCACAACCCCACCAATCCTACAGAGGCCGGATCACAACACCGACCTCCTCCTTTACTTAGCCGTGGCAGAGAACGCCATCAGCGCAATTATCGTACAAGAACACCAAAAGGTACAGACACCTATCTACATCATCAGCCGAGTCCTCCAAGGCGCGGAAAGAAGATACCAAATGATCGAGAAGCTGGCATTAGCGCTCGTCACCGCAGCTCGGCGGCTCCGACCCTACTTCCAAAGCCACCAGGTGATAGTCAAAACTGACTACCCCGTCAAGCAAATTCTGCGAAAGCCTGAACTCACCGGACGCATGATCGCTTGGTCGGTAGAACTATCCGAATTCGGCATCTAGCACGAAATTCGCGGACCCCTGAAGGCCCAATGTTTAGCCGACTTCGTAGCCGAGCTCACGCCAACTACTGCCGAGGAACCCCAGGTATGGACTTTACATGTTGACGGGTCCTCCAACACTAAAGGCGGCGGCGCAGGCATCATCCTGGAAGGGCCAAACCAAGTCACCTTGGAGCAGCACCTCAAGTTTGGCTTCAAGGTGACTAATAACTGTAGACCCCTAAAATTGTCCGGGTCGGAAA